AGATTTCCACAACCGATTATGCACTCTACGCTCAACATATTAAAGGCTTTGTATCAAGAGGAAATTTTAAAAGATTTGTATGATCTGATGAACTGCCACATAGTCGCAGCATAATATGATGGTAATACAGAGTTATAATTTAAGTTCATGGTATTGTTACTATTTTATATGGGCATTGAAGGTTTTTTAAAATTTGGAGAAGTTCGAGCCGCAGTAGCTAATCTGTGTAATAGTCGATCGGATGGGTGGAAATGGTGACCAAAAGTTATTATTTCGAGCTTGACCCTGGCTCCTTCTTCAGTATTTCTCACCAACGAATTGGGTCTGTGTGGTGGTTACTGCCCAAACTCTAACAGCCAGTTTCATAAACGTCCCTTAAAATTGTCATTAGTTCAAAGGGACATTATCGATACAAATTTGACATTCATTAGAGATAAAAGGCGTCATTAAACTTTAATCGACATTTGTAAAACTGCCCGTTTGACCAATTTCTGTTAATATCTATGCCACAAATATATAATAACTTTGATAATAATATTTTTTCTGTACTTACATTACATAGATTACATAGCGATAACTATGATAATATCTATGATACTTTGATATATCGACTTGAAGAACTCTACTACTTATTAATAAATTACTTAATCAACAATTACAACACAAACGCTTCTAGATTTCGTATAATTTTCTGTCTCAAACAGATCCATTAATTAAATGTTGTTTGTATATAGCTGTCTGTCATTCCAACGTGTTCAATCTTATATAAGTATCATCATTTAATGTGTAATACACAACGAATGACTAGGAACTATCTAACGACATTAAGTACTCGTAATATCTTAAGTTATGACATGCCCTAAGCGGTGGCTTGCGCTTGGCATTTGTATAATATGACAGATCACAAATGTGGTAAGGGATAAAAGAAAAAATGTCTCTTTGGCATTTAACTAATTTGCTTAGGCGATTCGTAAGATTACGCGTTTACCAGTTGAGCTATGCCTTCTTCAAGTTTAGTGAAAGAAAGACCCACGCCCATCATTCTAATCCACTGTGAATTGGATGGTGTTAAGGGCAGCAAAAGCAGCTGGGCCTATTGACTCAACGTGATTTTTGAAATAAGGAGGAACTTGAGACATAAACGACAAGAATCGTAGGTTTAAAATGCACAAAACTATGGAATTATAATGATAAAATTACATTTTACTATGTGTGTTAAGCTTCCTATTGAAAGTCGTATTTTTTTAGTTTATATGCATTTATAGCTTTGACGTCAAAAAGTTGCAACAAGTTTATTCTTCTCTTTTTATCTCGTCGTTAACAAAAAATATCGAATGAAACCGAACCTGGCTGGTTATTGCTTTAGTTTGAAAACTTTTGGTATTGTAATTAAACGCTTAGTTTTATAATTAGATATTTATCACTCAAGGAGCTCGATGACACAGTGATTAGCGTGTTATGTATTGCGTAAGTTAAGCAATTATCTCAAGGGCCGGTTATTTATTTATTTATTTATTTATTTATTTTGGGAAGACCAACAGCTATAACAAATACATAGCGATTAAATAGACTATAGGAAGCCATTTACAGGTCCACACAGATGGTTTACAAACTGGTAAACAAAAAAATCGAATCACAATATATACTCATACTTAATAAATCTGTTCCAAATTAGGGATCACACTTAATTAATCCTTCCATCGATCATTATTATCGATGTAAAAAAAAACTATCCACCAATGCACGCCTTGCTTTCTCAAAACCAGTATTAAATAGGTCGAAATCGAATTCGATACATATTTTATTAAAGCTGTTACATGCACGCCATATAAAGGAATTTTGCCTATAATTAGTATTAACTTGTGGAAGATAAATAAGCGCATTTGATCTTAATATTTTACGAGGCGGTATAATGGAAATCGAACCTAACAATTGTGGACAATCGACGACATTGATGTGATCTTAAGCAGGAAGCAGAGGTCAGCAATTAAACGCCTTTGCTCTAGTGGTATGAGATGATGCTTCTTGCAATGGAGCAGGTAATCAGAGGAGGAAAATGGCTCGGACAGTCGGAAACATAGATAACGTAAGAATTTAATCTGAATATTTTCCAATCTAGAAATGTAGGTCGAGTATCTAGGGTTCCAAACCTGCGATGCATATTCTAGATGACTACGCACATATGAGCAATAAAGGATTTTCAAAGTCTTAGCCTGCTTAAAATCACGAGATACGCGTTTGATAAAGCCTAATGCCTTGTATGCTTTAGCGATAATACTGTTGATATGGACATCGAATATCATTCGCGAGTCATGAAATACACCAAGATCGCGTATGCTAGTCTCTCTTCCGAGCTGTTCGCCTCTTATGGCATAGTTGAAAACTATAGGGTTTCGTTTCCTACTATAGCTTACGAGACAACACTTTGCAGGGTTCAGGTCTAAACAATTAACATCACAGTATGCTTCAAATTTAAAGAGGTCGTCCTGGAGGGATTGAGCGTCCATGATAGACGATATCCTAGCGAAGATCTTCATGTCATCGGCGAATGATAAAAGACTAGAGAAACTGAAGCATTTCTCAATATCATTCACGAAAACTAAAAACAGCAAAGGTCCAAGCAATGACCCTGCGGAATTCCGCTAGGTATGTCAACCCAACTGGAAATGTAATTATTAATAACTACAGCTTGAGACCGGTTGTTAAGGTAGGATGAAAACCACCTAAAAAGATCTCCCTTGATTCCAATCGCAGATAGCTTAAAAAGTAATAAATGGTGTGGAATTCTGTCAAAGGCTTTGCTATAGTCTGTGTATTATAGGATAGATGACCGGAAATTTACTATCTCCAGTAAATTTCCGGTCACCTATCTTATAACCCGTTTGTTGCTCCCGGCTACATCTTACAGTCTTTCATAGATTTCATAGATTCATAGACTAGGCCAGCGTGGTGAGTCATGGCTCTTTTTGTCCTATTCGACCAGCATGGGGAATAGTAATGGATTGGATGATATTAATATTTTAGTGTATGATAATTATATAACACATTAAAAGGATTCTACTTCTATAAAGTTAAAAAGAAAGCTTTCTACAAAACGGTTTTTCCGGCGAAACGAAAATTTGAATTCATGATCTCAAATTATTTTTTTTTAGATTATGCTGCTTGCCAGAATCGTATTATTTTTTTTCTTGCAAGAAAAAGTCTAAATTCCCAAAAAAAAATGGTAAGCTGCTATAGCAAGTTCTGGATGCTATTAAAGTTATCAGAGGTGTTTCAATCGTAGTTCCTTCATGCCTTTTGAAGAACAGAGTTCAAGATAATATATTTATTGTCACCAGGATCGGTAAGCTTTACGTAGCCGAGTGATCCCCACGCCAATTTTGAGGTGTCGCCGTTTATGAGTTTCGTTTCCCTGTCAGGTCAATATAGAAACTCTACTTTTCTATATTGTCTCGTGTCTGGGTGTGTTTTGATACCATTTTGTTTCAGATACTCCTTGATCCATCAGTCAGATAATAGAAAAAAGTAAAGATACGAAATTTCCTCAATTTTACAAGGAACGGTTTACATCACAACATTGTAGAAAATATACAAAGATTTGACGTTATGCGACATATCAACTCAATGTATTGCCGTAATTTATTGACGACAATACGGAAAATTAAAAAGATAAGATAGAGAAGACAAACCCAACGGATAGAAAAAAATATATATTTAGACTTTTTCTTTAAACGAATAGCTATGGATAAAGGTTTCTGATTAGTCCATTTACATAATAATAAGGCGATATAGGATTTGAAAACGAATACGAGTGTAAACCGTTTATTGAGGCTCCCTTGGAGCGTATGCAACAATGAACGAGAGTATAATCACAATATATTATATAATGTATATAACTATATTTTATATAATAATATATTGTAACGCAAAAAAAAAATCATATTTATGAAACAATTGTTCATATCGTTTAAGCTCAAAGCAAACAATTAAATGATTCTCAAAGAATTTTAAAGACATTGGAATTATTAATGTGCTGGTGACCTTTGAGTGTTGTCAAAAAAATATTCTTGTGCCAAAGTTTTCGGTAGCCGCGTCGCGCTACGCTGTCCGCGGAAATGTCGCCGCAACGAGAATAGACGCCGCGTCGACAGGCGTGCGGGTGACGTCACGACACGTCACTTGTTATGTCGATCTTCAATGTCTCGTTCGTTTAAGATGAGATAATTACCTAAGGAATTTTCACTACTGAAGTCTTTTTTAAACAAAATTATAACAATATGTTTTATGTTAGTTATTTTTAGATATTTGAGTTGGAGTTATTTATGCCTAGAGGTATTTTTATGATGTAGACATTATACAAGAAATTCAGCGACGAAATCAACGTCGAGGAAAATACTGTCACATAGTGTAGATATTCAATCAAAACAAACTTATTCAATTAAAACAAACGTACTACGATGTATTTATTTCCTTAGAATATGTTACCTACCTGTACAAGATCAGAGATCGATTATAATATTAGAGATGTTAAATTAATAAATGATGTCATCTAAAATTATCAAAAATTAATTATTTTATATCGATATCGAATACATGAAAAGTTCTTAGTTTAGTATAATGACGATTATATATCTTTATAACTTTCGGTCAGTTAACGTAAAGTTTAACTTTAAGCTCTAATGGATGTCAATTTTTTATGGGAAATGTCGCTTTAAACTAATTAAAATTTTAATGGACGTTTGTGCAACTGCCTGTATAACTGTCAATATCAATATGATATAACATTTGTCACGCTTACGTGAACCATTTATGTAAATGGAATTAGCGTTCAAAATTTATAAAAATGTCTAGTCAAATTATTGATTGACTTAACTAGGTTAATGAGCGAAAAATATTGGCGACAGAACAAAATAGAGGCGGCCTTTCAGAATTGCAGAGCGGGTTTGCATGTCGGGTGGGTGCATGAGTGTTGGCACGGCACGAAGTTCGGGACTCACGGCAGTCCTTCGTGAGACTGCGCGCATACCGCCCGCCGCGCCATCTACCCTCGCACGCGCCAATGGACTACGATCGACTACGCGAACTAATCGCTTTTTAATATTTAAACTAATATCGACGATCTGCGAACGAACATAACGAGCTTCAAAACGATGACCTTACTGATAGAAAATCACAAACTTTTACCGACTTTCGGAAACTAACTTTTGTGGGAGCTGATCACCGGATCCGTTGCACACCATGCATTATCGAGGAAAGTCACCCCATAACCAATTTATACACAAGAAACGACTGAAACTTTACCATTGCATCCTTTGAAAAGTTTTTACACGTGATTTATAAATCTATTTACACGGATTTAGAAATGGTTTTGAACATTCGTTTTATTCTTCATTGACATTTTTAATATTAAGCGACTTTGACCAAAGATAATCTGAACAAACAATAGTGTTTTAAATTTATAAAGTGTGTTTTAGCAAGACTTTAACACTTAGTTAAGTGTGGTATTAAAGTAGTTAAATAATTAAAACTTTAGTGAGTGATTAAGTGTTATTATAAATAGTGAACCTTTATTAAGCTACAGAATTTCATCTATCCCTTATTAATGGTAAGTTATAAAAGTTTTGCATATATCTATATAATTATAATAAATAGCCTGTACTATATATTAAAGTTTTATGAACCTTTTTTTTAATATCAGAGCGTTTTATCTTTTCGTTTATAAACTCGAAACAAAATAACGTAACACACGTTTACATAAACTAAACTTATTAAAACTTTTTAGTTCATTTATGAATTATAATTATAAGGTGAAACTTTTTATATAAAAGTATTAAAACATTAGGACGAAAATAATAATCGTTTAAATTTTTCATTGCAATAACTCGCAAACAAAGTTCAACGGAAATGAAAATTTACAATTGTATTTAAAAATAAACCTGTTTTTTAAGTTCTGTCGCTGCCAGTGTTCCACTTTTATTTAGCTCACAACGAATGCACTGGTAATTATAATAGTGTTGAGTTTCAAATATGTGTAATAAAATGTTATTGACATCATAGAAATTAGGTATGTCCAGAGACAAATGTCGTGTTTATAATAATATAATATTCTTCGGTATCGAAAACGAGTTTGGTTCAATTAGTTTTCGTTCAATATTAACTTAAAACTATAGTTAGTAAAAAATGTTTTTAGGTAGATGAACCTAAATATATTTTATTGTAATATATCTATTTATATTCAGATATGAGAAAAAAAGAAAATTTTCTTCTGGACTACATTTGAGTTTCTAACATTACATGTTAAAGCTTCTTTCCCATCCTTCAAAATGCAATATCGGGACTTGGTGAGGACATTTGGCCCTAAATAATAAATTTTTCATTATTATTGTCATCCAGCAGCAGGTGCTACACGTAACGCGCAGACCGATAAGCTTATTGTAAGCCGAACATTTCGGACACATAAATATTTACACATGATCGAAAAAAAGCTAAACATGTCCACTTAAATCCAATCTTAGCCGTATAACAGTACAGTAAGTATGTTTATATCACCTATTGACTGCTGTATCACGTGTAGCACAATAGTTAAATATATAAACGACCTCCATAAAGTCGATGTGTAAAAGAACATACACACATTGCTATATTGCCATAGCTACACGACTGGTGCCAAGTCCAATGACATCGTAAGATATTTATAAAACAATATTACAATGCCAATCTTCTTCCTTTAAACAAAACTCAGTATTATTTACTGGCATCATAACATTATATTGCGATTTATTGCTCTTCCATTGAGTTTATTACAGTTAAAATTTACATCGTCACAAAAATAGGGCATAATCGTTAATATAAAACAAAAAATACCAACCTTATTTCGTATATGTTCTATATTGATTTAAAAATGTTTAATAATAACGAAAATAAATGAAAGCATAATTTTAAGAGCTATTATTATTGATTACAGTGTAGGTATCCAAATATGTAAGTATTTTTAAAATATCACCGGATCAACGTTGAAAGACAAGATGAAGTCACAATATATGAATCGGATTTTTCTATATCATCTAAGTACCTATATTAAACTAGTCTTATGATTATATTCAGCTAGCTTCCATGTTGTATATAAGGTAATTATACATAGACAATCTGACGCAACTGATGTGGTGGAAGAACTTTATAATTGCACGTGGTGCACGTGAAAATGTTGGTTTGACTTATACTTGAAGAAGTTAAGAGTTGTATGGTTTTGTTTTATTGCATTACATAGGAATTATAGGAAAATTTACAACTCAAAATGTACAATATACTTGAAAGGGTGATATTTGATAATATTTGGATAAATCTAAATCACTCATATAGAATTGAATATTGATCTGTTGGTTGTATAATTTTTTATATCACGATTTATCAACATTCACTTAATGAAACTCATAAAACAAATAATCGAATATCCTAATTTATAGATTTAATGAACTTTTAAATCATTATAATGCAATTTCATATATTCTATAAGCTTAAACGTTATAATTCAACTTGTCTTATTATGAATAGTTAAAATTGGTGGATATTTAATTTGCGTATCGACTTATTAAGTTATGGACTAACCAAAGCTTGTAACCTACATGTTACTAGTAAACTTTTTTACAATAAAAAAACACATTTGTTTCCTTTCTCCTCAGAGATAAAATGTCCGAGTAAATAAAAAAAATGGCCATAATTATAAAGCTATCTAAAGATTGATTGCAACGTATTTATTGACTAATTGCAGCGTTAATGTTTAAGTTTTTATGTAAAATATTCTAGCATCATAATTTATGTCAATAACATGTTAAAAGGATTAGTATTTGAAGAGTTATAGGCTATAGTACCCGCGCATTAATTAGCTTCCCTTAGGTGAAAGAATTTCATGATCGGATTCACCACCACAAGCAAACTCCACCTCTTTATATAATTAATATAGATAATAAAAGTTTCTCTAATAACTTTAAAATTTATACAAGGTTGACATACATAATTTAATCATCACAACAATATCGTTTAATTAAGTCATAAGTGGTCTCCTTCCCTATGGACTCCGAAACTCATTTGAATAAATTAAATTCGTCGAATTTTCACCATTGTTCTAACACGCGAAGGTGAAATGGTCCCATATTTTTGTGACGTAAATAATAAATTGTCATATTCTTTTTAATGACATTATTCGATTTAGGACAGGTAATGATGAGTTTCCATTATGTTGTTTGTGTTATTAAAAATGCTAGTATTTCTTATTTGATAAGTGATTAGTTTAATCAAAGCTTCAAATTAAATAAGTGATTAATATATTTTTTATGTGTAATTGTTATAGATGAAATTTTTGTCTGTCCGTCAAATATATTATTGTAGAATATATTTTTCATAGTAACAATTTTTTTTATTTTTAGCAATATCACTAAATTACGGCAGTACATTAAGTTAAAATGTCACCTGATGTCACACCTTGTGCATTTTCTACATGCAAGCCCCCACGTAACTCTAAGCCATTTTCTATTGAATTGAAGCAAAAAGAATACGTATCTTATATTTCTATATTATCTGACTAAAAGACAAAATACAATTTCTTTTCTTTTACCCAGGAATCATCTTTTTAAGTAATTAATGTTCATGTTTTTATTTGTTTGTAATTAAGTAGTTTGAGCGTTAGCTTTAAATATTAAACAGGATTAATATTATCTCGTTCCTCCTTGCTTTGGAAGGCATGCTAAGCCGGTGGTCGCTGCTCAAGCTACAGCCGTTAACACTTACTATTCCGCCGTTAACACTTACTATTTGGATCTGCGTAGTGGGTTATGGTAAAACCCACTACGCAGATCCAAAATCAAATATAAAAAATGGGTAATAACTTATAACTCATTTTACACTATAGTTTACTAAATACAGCAATGTGTCAGAGATTATGAATCAACGAATGAACACTTTATTGTACACCGAAAACTGTCCTATTTTTTCAGTAGATTTTAAATCTCTGTGAAAATTTAAGGAAAAACGCAATAGTGAAGTTGTTTGTGCCAACTTTAACCTATACAATTTATTTGCACTTAAGGTAGAAGTACTTTACCAATATTGGATTGTTACGTGTTCTCATGGGACTTATTTCATAGCTAATGTGTTCCTATAGGAAGCATTACACGAATTGTCAAGTTTAATTTCTATATATTTTTTTATTCGTTGACTGAGTCTGCCTGCGGAATGTGCTTGAGGTCTGTGAGGTCATTTAATTAGTCGATAAACCAATGACCACCATTGAAAATAAGGCACAAAAATGCAATGTAAACGAGCCTCAATGTTGACCTTAAGTGTGGATAAGATTACTGTCTGTTATATAAAACTATCTAACAGTTTCTTGTTTTTCTATTCTCTAATAAAATCCTCGAATCCTCACCATTAGTGCTGTTACAGCACAGAAATGGATACAATCAAATAGAACCATTATTAACATTTGAAGTGTGTTTTATTTGATCTAACCTCTTTTCTGTGACAATTCTATGCTCAACATCGACTTCGTAACTGATTTTAATATAGAATAACTAGTAGCTCGGTGGCGTAGTGGATAAGCGCCGCGGCCCGCGATCGTAATCGTTAAGCAACTTTCGCAAGGGTCGGTCACGGGATGGGTGATCAAAAATTATTATCTCGAGCTACTCCGTGCTTCGGAAGACACGTTAAGCCGTTGGTCCCGGCTGCATTTGCAGTCGTTAATACCTTCCAATCCGCATTGGGCCAGCGTGGAGGGTCATGGCCCATCCTCCTTAACCATCCATAAGGAAGGCCTGAGCCCCTGCAGTGGGGACGTAAAAGGGCTGGTGATATAGAACTATCTAACAGTTTCTTGTTTTTATATTCTCTAATAAAATCCTCGAATCCTCACCATTAGCGCTGTTACAGCACAGAAATGGATACAATCAAATAGAACCATTATTAACATTTGAAGTGTGTTTTATTTGATCTAACCTCTTTTCTGTGACAATTCTCTGCTCAACATCGACTTCGTAACTGATTTTAATATAGAATTGCACTGCAGTACATAATATTATCCAAAACTTTAAATATTTATTTTCAAACTTAATGCGGAGCTTAATTTATACTGTTCAAACCATAGATATTCAAATATCTCTCCATGGTTCCGACAGACGCAATAATGATACTTTTTTATTGATAAGTACTGGTGTCGAGAAACATAACGGCCAGGCATCGAAAAACTATACAAGTCTACTGGAAATTTAAAAGAAAGTCGATCGATGTTATTTCATATTTTGATGTTATGGTGGAACGCATGAACATAACGCCATAGAGTATAATGTATTTTATATTTCTTCTTTCTAAACTGGATCTTTGTTCATGACATCGCTATTAATAATGTCACAGAGTGCATTAGAGGATCTTATAAATTTTGATTCATATGATTAAAATTTCTTCGAGCTCTTTTATACGTATCTAAGCTAATATTTTATCATATTTCTCATAACCACACAAAAGATAAAGCCATCTTTATAAACTATTTACAGTCATTCGTATATTCGGAGCCAGCCATTTCTGGAACAGGAAGGAATCAATATGCCTGATCCA